CTCTTTAGGAATATATTTTTGAGTTCTAAAACTCGTAATCGGGCTTTGTTTTCAAAATATTACGGCATAGGTACCTTATGGACAGAATTTCGAATCACAAACTGCAATTACGCTAAATATGCTCTATTTACTATGAAAAAGCTAAATTACATAAAACATGTTGAGTATTTGATTTGATCATATCTTGCTATATGTTCCTCCATTTCAAGCGATTTACATCTCGATGGAGAGATAATTTTGAGTTCTAAAACTCATTTCCAGACTTCGTTTTCTATTTATTAGCGAGTAGGTATTTATTAATCTGAAATTGATAATCATTTCCGAATTCACTCCAAACTCGTGTAGTATTTGATTTTATTATGTCTTGCAGTATTTTGATCCATTCCAAGTGTTTTATAGTTCGTTGAAAAAATCCTATCAATTTTTAAAACTCTTATTCACATTTAGTTTACAACATATTAAGGGATAAGTACGTATTACTCAGAAATTAAAAAACATTGGTCGCATTGACTATGAATAGGTATAGCGTTGACTTTTTTATATCTTTCTGTGTTGTTTTGTGTTTAAGGTGTTTGATATCTCGCTAGAAAGACCCTTTTGAGTTCTATACCTCGTATTCAGGCTATTTAGTTCTAAGACTCTTATTAAGAATTCTCTTACAAAATATTAGGGGATATGTACGTATTACTCAGAAATTGAAAAAAAAAACTGGCCGCGTACCCTGCAAGCACGTGTAGCATTGACTTGATAATATCTTTATGTGTTGTTTTATGTTCCATGTGTTTAATATACTGTGTTAGAAAGATCATTTTGAGTTCTTAAACTTGTACTAAGCCTTCATTTTCAAAATATTACAGTATGGGTACCTTATGCAGCGAATTTCGAATCACAGACTCTGATTACGCTAAATATGTTCTATGTACTCTGAAAACACCATGTTACATAGAAAAGGCTGAGTATTTGATTTGGTTATATCTTGTTGTATGTTCTTCCGATTCAAGCGTTATATATCTATCGTTTTGAGTTCTAAAACCGTGTTTCGACTTCATTTACTGTGTATTATAGAGTACGTACCAATTAACCGGAAAATCATAATGATTTCCGAGTACACTCCAAACTCGTTTAGTACTTTACTTTATCATTTCTTGTTGTATTTTGATCGGTTAAGAGCGTTTTATAGCTCTTTAGAAAGATCCTATCGATTTCTAAGACTCTTATTCAGCCTTCCTTTACAAAATATTAGGGGGTATAAGTCAGAAATTAAAAAAACTGGTCGCGTTGACCACGAATAGGTGTAGCATTGACTTGATCATATCTTTCCATGTTGTTTTGCGTTTGATGTGTTTAATATCTCGTCAGAAAGATCTTTTAGAGTTCTAAACTTCTTTTTTAGGCTTTGTTTTCAAATTATTAAGGCATGAGTACGTTACGCATAGAAATTTGAATCAAACTCTAATTACGATAAATATGCTCTATTATCTATGAAAACGCTATACATAAAAAAGTCTGAGTATCTGATTTGTTCTTTTTTTTCAAATCATTATCTTCCACATTTGATAGTTTTATGTAATAAATACACCAGATGTGACAGTAAGGATGAAGAACAAGTTATGTACCGATGCAGTTCACCTTTGGACATTTGATAACTAATTAAACAAACAAGACACAAACTTTGAACAAAGGAAGGAATGAATGCGAAATGGACTAATAGATAGCAACACATTTTTAGCAGTATAATAATTGAATGACTTAGATGTCCACTCTCGTTTTAAACTGCATAAACCCCCTCCTTGAGCAATAGTACCATCACTTCCACCTGATTGTCCACGGATGCCTCCATACCCCACCTTTACTCTTTCGGACTCATTTGAAACATCAAATACTCTTTCCTGAATTTTCTTATATATAGTTGAAGATGTTATGATAAATGCCTCCTCCACATTCTATGTTGTTTTGGCAGAGGCCTCCATGAATATCAAACCATGCTCCTTGCCAACTGTTTGTCTTCCTCTGTGCTTACATCTCTTCTATGCGATAGATCACACTTGTTTCCGATAAGCATTATGGTCATGTTTGCATTTGCATGTTGCCTTGCATCTTCTCACCAACTAACTAGGTGATTAAAAGTTACCCGCCTTGCAATATCATAAACAAGTAGTGCAGCAGCGACACCTCGATAGTAAGACCTTGTTATAGTTCTAAATGATTCATGATCAGTTGTGTTCCAGATCTACAATTTTATTAGCTTGTTCTTAATTGAATCATCTTAGCGCCAAATTCAACACCAATGGTTAAATCATGCACTGGTTGAAAGTGTTTGTCAGTAAATTACAAAAGAAGACATGACTTTCCAACTCCAATGTCCTCGATGATGATTGACTTGAAAAGGTACGCGTATGACATCATTTCGGTTTGCCGGGGAGACGGAAGAGACCTCGTTGAATGCAATTGATGACAATGTGACCTGTATTTGATCTCTTTGGAAAGATCATTTTGAGTTCTAAGACTCGTTTCCAGACTTCATTTGCTTTGTATTAAAAAGTAGGTACGAATTAAATGAAATTTGGTAATCATTTCGAGTTCACTCCAAACTCGTGTGTATTTGATTTTACATTTTCTTGTTGTATTTTGATCTGTTCCAAACAGTTTATAGTTCGTTGGATAGATCCTATTGAGGTCTAAGACTCCAGAGTTTGTTTACAAAACATTAAGGGATATGTACGTCATACTCAGAAATTAAATAAAACTCGTCGTGTTGACTACGATCACGTTTAGCGTTCACTTATCGTGTCTTGTTGTCCCACACCGGATTTCTCTTAAACAATTAAACACTATATTAAGATCTGACTCCTCCTCCGATCAGGTTGACCTTTTAGGATGAAACCCCAGATCTCAACATGGTATCATAACCAAATTGATCCATGGTATGCCCCCTATGAAAAATGATGACACAACTAAAAAATGACATTAACTACCTGCCTTCCAACACCAGGCCATAAAGACCTGCTTAACAGAGCAATTTTGATTGGGAAAAGGAATTTCCATTATGCCCATAAAATATCTCCAAATAGGCTTCACTTTGTCACAGCTAAAGAATAAATGATCCACCTTATCATCATAAACTCTACATAAAGGACACATAGAAAGGTTGAGGACCATATTAAATATGTTTAAAGTATCAGTAACAGGAATGATACCTTTGAGGATTTTCCATTGTAATAATTTAATCTTAAGAGACTGATTAGGGTGCCATATGTGCTTATAAGAGAACATACTTGGTAATTCTTCTCTCACCATATTATAAGCAGATTTAAAAGTGAATCTGCCATCCTCTTCTGGTGACCAAAAAATATTTCTATCTTGATTAACCCCACACAAATCCATAGCAATCTCATTAATAGAACACACTCTCCTCCAAATATATGGGAGAGTCAGTAACCTTGGGATTCATATTGTTTCCCCTAGGGTATCTTGCCTTAAAGAAATCAACCCATAATGATGAAGTAGTCTTCCATTTCCACCACAGTTTAAGTGTGAAGGCCTTTTGCAAATCTCATAAACCTCTAACTCCCAACCCCACTTCTTCTACAGGTAGGCATATCTTAGACCATTTAAGCCAATGGTATTTAGGTTTACTGTTGGATGATCTGCATAAAAAACTGCTAATTTCTTCTCCAGAATGCTAATAATCCTTTTGGATAATGTGTCCACAACAAGAATATGAAGTGTAATGGCACTAAGCACATGCTTAATCAATATCAATCTTCCACCTTGAGTTAAGTTTTTCATTTTCCATGGGGATAATTTATTATCAAACTGCTGAATTAAATTCGTACAATATTGATATATGTTTATGCCTTTATGAAGTTTAACCGCCAAATATTTTACAGGGAGCTCAGCTGCTTGCATACCCAGGATGTTTTTTTATTAAAGGAACTCTACCTCTTGCAGAATTTCCACAAACAAAAGTACTTTTCTGCAATTTTACTGTCTGCCTTGAAGCTGCTTGGTAAGATTCAATAAACTTGTTGAAAATTTTCAAAGATCTAGTTGACTCATTAAGAAATATTAACAAATCATCAGCAAAACCAAGATGGAAGACTGCATACCCTTCATTACCCATCCAATAAGGCTTGATAAGATCTCTTTCCATGTTCCAATTTAGCCCTCTTGAAAAGGCTTAAGAGGCAAGAATAAATAGAAATGGTGATAGAGGGTCACCTTGCTTAACACCTCTTTAAGGTTTAAAAAACAATGTGGAACATCATTCACCAAAATTGACAAGTAGGTTGCTTGTTTTTTTCTTACTCCAAGGGGGTCTGGGGCAGGGGGCTTGGGGGTTGGAGTAATCAGGCCTAGCAGGTTTCGAACTCGAGACCTCCCACTAGGCATGGTAACCTCACAACCAGCTGAGCTGGAATGCTTGATTACAAGTATGTTGCTTGTAAATTGTTAAGAATGAGTTGAATAAAATGTTGAGAGAACCCAAATCTGCTAAGAATTCCAGAGAGAAAACTCCAAGAAAGCTTATCAAAAGCGTTTGCCATAAAAATAACCACAATTAATTATAACTTTATTCACAAGGATGTAGAGTCCATTCTTTTATTTGCTTGTTTCATCAAACTTGTAGTAATTATTAAGATTACAACTAAATTTCAAGAAGAGATAAATGAGAAAAGTATTGAGTACAAAAAACATGTTGAGTGTAGTGCACTAAAGTGAAAATAGAGAGAAAATTATTGGACTGGGTACAATTTGATTAATGTAATAAAAGATGTAGTTTAGTTGATTATTTTGTAAATAAATAATTTGGAGATACTATGTAGATCAATAAAGATATTTTAAAGGTAATATATAACTCATAAATCAAATAAAAAGAGTAGCTTTTTGTTGAAGTTAAGTCCTAGAGGTCCAAAGGTTCAACACAGTCATTTGGGTTTTCGTAGGAGTCCTTTTAATGGGTTTAGTGTAGGTGAGTGTTTAAGGCAAGAAAGATGCAAGAATAATTGTAAGTAAATGAGTGGAAAAGTATATCTAGTTCTATTATGTTTTTAGAACGATCACAACACATATGTCGAGCCCGATCTCCGACCCCCTAGATCAAGCTGAAGATTACACAAGAACTAGAGAGAAGTATATTGCAAAGTATACAAGTTTGTCAACCCATTACAATTAAATAAATGTTATGTGGTGATGTGCTCAACCCTAAGTGACTAAACATCAATCATAAAATATTTAACATCTAGTGCATTAAATGTGTTTCCCACTAATTCTTGTTTTCCCGTCATTGGTTGGGGGAGTTCTTTCTTGGATAGTTGACAGATCGAATAGAGAACCCCAAATGAGGGGATTGATCCGAGCGGCACGATCCGTTCTGGTAAGCCGTGCAGATATCCCGACTAACTGGACTTGAAATGGGCTCGTATGAGGATTGGGCTTCATGGGGTATTTGGGCATGGACCTTATATCCCAACACTATTGTATTTGCATACAATAATTAATACTTGGAATAAAATATTATGCCAAATCACAATTTAGACATAAATTTTGTCATTTCATAATTGAGTTTAAATTAATCTAGTGTTTCATTCGAAGTCAAAATTTTAAAAAATTATGCCCCGACAATCAATTTTGTGGATCTATCACTATATGTACAAACTCTTTATTATTCTTTAATGAGAATATTACCCGATTTTATGCCAAATCACAATTTAGACATAAATTTTGTCATTTCATAATTGAGTTTAAATTAATCTAGTGTTTCATTCTAGTCTATATATTTGCACTTTTTGGGCTATATATATATACCGTATTTTGTTGTGTGAGAAAACCAAAACACAATTAAGCTAAATTAAAATGAGGAAAAATCTAGGTGAGGTTTCAGGAACATCTGGAATTTCTTCCGGGGCCCCCATAAAAAAAGTAAGTCCCCCAAGCAGGATTAGGATTAGATCCTCCTCCTGCTCGTATATCATAGCAATCGGGATGGTCAGCGGTAAGTCTAAGCTTAGAGGCGGGAATGAGAGAGTTATCCCAATCCACCATCTGCAAGTTTCGAAAGTAAGAAGCTTTTCCGAAGCCCTCTCCCGAGAAATGTCCGCTCCCCATTTGTGTTGCTGTGTGAAGGCCAGCGGCCATTCGGTTCACAACTTCTCCTCCGAATTGAATCATGCTTCCACCGCCCTTCAGATGTGTAAACAACATCGAAGGCCAATACCCCACTAATATCCTTGATCCAAACTGTAGCCACCAATGCCCATGCTTCGGATCCTGTACACCAAATTGTTGTATACTTCCTATTCATCAAACTTCTACATAAACATACATAATAACAACACTTCTCATTTACATAAAACCACTGCGCCAAAATGTACACAAAAAACGCGGTGTCTTTCAATAATTTATTTCCCGATATGAATTGTAAGATGAATAACATGCTAAAAACATTTCATCGAAAAAAAATCACCAGGAACACCCTCGAACGGGCAAGTTCGGATTGGGCTTCCTATCAGAACTGAGGTTATTTTTTCGTGCATATACATATGTATCACATGCACACATAAAATGTAATTCAAATAAAAAATGTTCTTAACACGTCAAAAGTGTGACCAAAATACACTTACAATCACCTCTATTACACATATATGGTAAGCTACTAACTTCTAAGGTGTAAATAATATGTGTGTGGTGACAATTCAATAAATTGGTGAAGTGTTTACAAATGTCAAAAAGTGCACCGCATGAATAGAAGAAGTGCATTGTAGCGCTACAAAAGTTAATATTTCACATTTTACTCATTAAGATCCTTTTTATTTGATACCTAGCTACCATATATATGTATGTATCAATGCACGTCTATCAATGTGTATATGCTTGAATAAGGGTTCTCATTGACTACCGCTCAATATATCATGTATTGTCACTCATAGGTAGGATTGTAAATGAATAAAACAAATACTTGATATTATTATTCGTATTCGTAAAAGTTATTTACTACTATTCATATTCGTTTCATAATTGAATCTTATTTAGTATTCGTATTTGCCTTTTTGTTGTATTCAAATTATTGGAATCTTATTTAAATATTCTAATCGAAAAAGAACTAAATAACGTAATATATGTTTATATTAAATTAAATTTATTAAAGTAGTTAAAATTGTAGTGTGCATATTATCTTTTTGCCTCATTTTCACGGTACATATTTCATTCAAATCAAAGTATATTTTCAAGACACTTCTCCATAATTAACTTCAATGTATATTTTCAAGACACTTCTCCATAATCAACAGCTAATTACAATGCCAAGATATGCTACTTTCAACATTTGTGGCTAAGCCAAAAATTCAAAATAAAACATGTAAAATTTCTACGAGTTTTAGTTCATTAATATTATAATTCCCTAATATAATAAAAACTGTTGTTTATTCCAAGACAGTATGGTCATGTTTTTATTCCCCAAATAGGAATAATTACTTTCATATTTTGACAATACTAGACTTTAAATATGTACTCCTATTTAGGAAATAAAAAACACGATAGTCCTATTTTGGAATTGTCAAACGTTTTTACTCTTATTTCGGGATATTTTCCTACTTGTTTTGATATTGAATCTCATGGTTGAGATGTAATCCATGGGGATATATTAGACCGTTATGCATTCATGCATTGCGTCATATTGGTTTAAGAGTCTGGGAGGAAATTGGCCAAAGACAATGATATTGTTATTTAAGCAATGATTCGAGTATATTTTGAGAAATAGTTATAATGAGTTTGTTAGTTCAGACTTCAACAAAACAGATCATGAAATTTCACTCCAAATAAAAAATGATAGAGTTGTAATGTTTACCAATTAAAATAAGAAGATATTAGTTACCAATTAAAATACTTTTGACATTAATCTACTCCTAAATTGTATGAAACTCCTCCTTTACAAATAGTTGTTTTTAAAGTAATGCGGAAGATGTAATGTTTACCTTCCAGATTAAGATGCTGATATCGTATTGACGTCCACCATAAGAGGACGTTGGGGAGATGGCAGCTCCAATGGATATTCTATTGTTAGTTTGAACAAAGCCTGAGCACAAAAGGTTATAGCATCCTGTTGTTCTATATGCATCACTCTGTAAATTCAATTGTGGTATTAAAATTATTATACAATGAATAATTAGCGCGGGGAAACGAAATAAGTTCAATTTTATCAACAATTTTGAATTTTGATATATTTATTTAATCTTCTAGTTTCATTATTATTCTGGGTCACGTTATAAATAACTGTATGCAACACTTTACAATTTTACTAAACATCTATCCTCCGAGTGCCTATACCGTACGACCGGTATACGGTGAGCACCGTATACCGGGTACGGATTTATATTTTTTTTTTCCTTTTATTTTTAAAAAATGGTAATAATTTTTTTATTTTTGATCCGATTTTTATAAAATTTATATCAACATTTTTTATTTTTCATGATTTTTCAAATGAGACCAATATTGCCTATGTAATTTTAACATATTAATATTTGCGTGTAAAATATGTAACTTTACGTGTTAAAATATGTAACTCACGTTCAGTCAGGCCAAATGCAACTCGTGTGTATAAATATGTATCTCTACGTGTAACAATATGTAACTTTACGTAAAAAAATATGTAACTCGCGTTCAGACAGGTCAAATGCAACTCGTGTGTATAAATATGTAACTCGCGTGTATAAATATGTAACTTTACGTGTAAATATATGTAAGTCGCGTTCAAGCATGTCAAATGCAACTCGTGTTTATATATATGTAACTCGCTTTTAAAAAGATGTAACTTGTTTATAAAAAGATGTAACTTGCTTATAAAAAGATGTAACTTGCTTATAAAAAGATGTAACTCGCTCATAAAAAGATGTAACTCATTGTATTATCAAATGTAACTGAGACCACTAATCCACTCCCAAACAGATTCGATCTTCTATTTCACAAACCTATCATCTCCCAAACAGATTCGATTTTCCTTATAATCCAATACTCATTAATATAATAGTTCGATAATTTCTTAAAATTACATTAGCAATATTGGTCTCATTTGAAAGATCATGAAAAATAAAAAATGTTGATATAAATTTTATAAAAATCGGATCAAAAATAAAAAAGTTATTATCATTTTTAACAACAAAAGCAAAAAAAAAGGGAGGGAGGAGGGATGGTGCGTCGTTTTGCAACCAGGCGCACCATCCTTATGGTGCACCGGTTGCATGGTATAATTTGCCCTATCCTCTATGCTCAGTCGGATGCCAGACCCAACATCACCATTTCCCCTATAAAAGCACCTATTTTCTTCCCATTTGGAATCCATTAGTTATCATGCTTAAGTTCGGATTAGATTAGTAGCTTTTCACACAAGAAAATATTTTCCTCTGTGAATACGAACTCTACTACGCTATAATTCTATAATTATTTTGATGAAAGATCATTAAGTTTCTTTGTGAAAAATGTTATTTTGAGCTTTTTGGGAGTATATAATTTAAAACTCGTTCTACTAACGAGATCATACATCAAACAAATTCTGAAGTAGAACCAGAACCACCTAATAAAGAGGCTTTTGTATATCTTTTATACACTTTTAAGTGTTTAATAATTTTCGGTTTCTAGTTATTGAAAAATTTTAAAAGCAAAGAACTGTAACTATTTGATAAAAGTAACAACTTGATTTTCGTTTTGTTTAATTTAACAAATTATTTTGACTAGAAAGAATTAGTTTAACTAGGTAACATCAAAACTTTCACACGTTCTGTCAAAAGCTACTCAATCTAACTCACTCATTAAGTTTTATAAAGATCATTAATTTGGCACACCAGTTCAAATATCTCTATCTATCACATACTCCCTATGTGAATTGTCCTAAATAGGAATAAAAATATTTGTGTATTCTAAAATAAGACTAGCATATATATTTTTATTCCTTAAATAGAATTAAAAATGTTTGTGTTTCTAAAATAAGACTAGCATATTTTTATTTCATAAATAAGACCATCATGTTTTGACAATACCTGATTTTAAACATAACAATATCTTCTGAACTTGACATTCATTTGTTTCCGTTTTATTAAATATGCTTTCATCTATTTTCATTTTATTTGGCTTTAATAAACTAATGGAAGTCGTCCAACTCTAATTTAAACCGTTCCTGTTTATAAATGGAGTAACGAATTTTATGAAATTCAAATTCGGCATTTTGGTTTCATTAAATTCTACTATTGGTGAAGATAGAAACATTACACCTAGAAAAGAATGGAGAAAACGTAAAGTAAATGTGTGTATATACTATATAATAATAATAATAATAATAATAATTATTATTATTATTATTATTATTATTATTATTATTATTATTATATATCCCAAGTACGTACTTCGTATATCAGATAGAAAAGAAAGTCAGATCACTTACTGTCCAGTATGTAAAGAACCTCGGACGATTGTCCCCATATATCTCTGGACTAATCTGTTTCCATATTAAATAATAGAATTAATTAGTTCCCATCCCTTCATACCCAACTCCGGCCGGTAATCATAATACTACCTTCATCCCTTAAAATTTTGACAACTTTCCTTTTTTGGATGTCACACTAATTTTGTCATTTTCCATTTTAAGTAAAGAATTTGTGGATATAATGAATTCTCTCTCCTGTGCACAAACCTCTATCACACATTTTTTACTTTATTAATCCATGTGCCGGTCAAACATGGCAAAATTTTAAGCGACGGAGGAAGTATGACAAAAAACGCAATTGAATACCCGCCCGGCCTTTACTTTGATATCGAGAGGTAGATAAAGATGCAATGGGTGCTTTAAATAACATTATATATGGTGATTGATCCTTGCGAAAACAGATGGGGACATTTATGTCCGATCAAATGTGCGTAGAGTGTACACGGTAGATAATAGGGAAAATTCATCAAATATGCATGAGTAAAAATGTCGATAAAATGAAGAAATAGGAGTAACATGGCAACATATACTGCAATTTTGTAGTCATTAATGTCAAAATACTTGTAGTACTAAACATTAACATAACAGTGATCACTGTCGATAAATTCGTGTCAAATTCGTGTCAATCCCATATTTTGTTTGTAGTGGTATAACATTTTTCAATCATGGTAGCAACGACTCTTATTTCGAGAATAAAACATAGCATTTCTAATTTTGCATTCCAGAATGTTTTTACTCTTATTTAAAGCAATTTCCTAAATAATGATACATATGTGAGCTGTTAAAAATATACCTTCTCTGCCTTAAGATTGAAAGAAGATGAGTGATACAATTTTCATGAAAAGTAGGTTATGTTCTAGATATTGAATTGGTAAAGCATGAAAGTAATAATAAATAAAGTACGTACGTTTATTCAATTAGTTTCACCGACTGCTTGTTTTTATTGTACAATTTCAAGTATGTAGGAAGTTTGATGTAATGATGTTGCTTCACGTTACCAAAAAAATACAAGATGATCATTTGTTACGTTACGATGAATGAAAATCGATGCTTTATTTTTATTCTCATTTTATTTGTTACCCTTCCCTTTTGATTGTCCCAAAAATATGAGCATTTTAAATTGAATTGGGATAATTTTTTACTTTCTCACTTTATCTCTTTATTAATCCCTTCACCCCTTGCTTTTTATGGACTCTTCTTAGTACAAGTATTTTTTAAGGAGTTGTACTTTTGAGAAGTTGGAATAGTAAAGTAATCATTTTATTCTTTTTTGGGAAAAAGGACATCTTTTGCGACTAAGCCTTGGATGTTGTTGTTATTGTTGTTGTTGGGAAAAAGGGCAAATAAGCCCTCGAACTAACTGAAAAAGTGCAAATCACCCTATTTATAGAAGGCTCTGTCCGGCCGTCTCCATGTGGGGTGGTTACCCAATGGAATTTTTTAATGATTTTTTTATAATCTTCTTCATTAAGTCTAGTTTACTCGTACCAAATTTCAGCTAAAAATGCAACCAGAAAGGCAGTCAAATAAATGTTTGAAGATAACTGCGCAGTTAAACAGCGCAATATATTTCAGAAAATCATTTTACTGCCTTCTCGGTTGAATTTTTAGCTGAAATTTGGAATGCGTAAACTAAATTTAATGAAGAAGATACTCAAAAAAATCATCACAATATTCCACCAGGAACCGCCCCAAATGGCGACGGCTGGACAGAGACTCCTATAATAAAAGGGATGATTTGAAGTTTTTTTATTAGTTCGAGGCCTTAGTCGCACATTTTCCCTTCTTTTTTAACAAACACCAAACTCATATACATCTCACATTAAACTGGGCCAGGGTAAGCTAAGAAAAAACAATTTAAGGAAAAAAGGGAGAAAGATGGGTGGGCGGCCGGAGATTAAAGTTGACAATTATAATTAGGTGACAGTTCTGGTACCTTTCTAAAAATGGGGTACCGTACCTATCATTCATTTGATTGGATCACATCATTTTATCATTTTTAATTTAGATTTAAATAATTCAACTGCTACATTTTCATTGTTCCATTTGAACAAAGCTATGATACCTTATGGGTACCATAGAATCTACCTTATAACGAGGGAGTAATAAAAAACATGCCTGCCAACCAGCTTCAATGCTGTTGAGATCAGCACCAAATGAACCGGAGGTAATCCACATCTGCGACAAACTAAACTCTTGCGTGTTGGCCACATGAGGTGCCCACACATTCAGACTCGCTTTCGCCCCATAATATCGATCTCCATTTACATATCCAACTGCATGCTGTCCCACCCCCACAAAAAATAAAAAATCAAGCTATAAATTCAAACAATTTATTTTAAACCGAACATTTAAACAAAAACTCACAGTTTATATTACTACTCCGTATTATTTATTTAACATCATAGTAAAATTGACCTAAAGACAAACTAAACTCATTACATTACATATAGACTTAAATAGGCTTTAATCCTTGCATCGACGACACACTTTTTTATTTTTCATCTCTATAATTGATATGTGTATATTTGATGCTATTTTATGGGAAAATTAACAATGCCAGATCCTTTATCCTTTTATAGTTTTTCTTGGCTAACACTATAGTTAAAACAATGTGATCGAAATCAATTATTCATATTTTTAAACATGTACTTAAATATAATTAACAACCTTCTGAAAAAATATAATTAAATATTTTTTAAATATAACATGACAAAGAATTAGAGAAAACCTAATTTCCCGTGACATATTGATAAATAATAAAAAAACGAGTATATAATGGAGCACCAGCCACCAGCATAATATGCTTCCGAAGAAGAATTTCCTCTGCTTCAAATAAAAAGTCTATCTTTTCGTGCAAAATGCAACTGAATAAGGAGTATGAGATCTAAGATCGATCTAAAAGCTAAAAAACTCAATGACAGTTTGATACATAATCAAAAAAGCTAAGGAATAATATGCATTAAATCGAATATGAAGATGCATTATGGATGGGTAGAGTGCAGCCGGCCACATGCAATTTTGACATCGAATTGAATAATATCCATGTGGTACTTACGTGATCACTCCGTTCTTAAAAAGTGCATGCATGTAATGTCCAAAACAAAGTTAATTACACTATATATGTTCTTAGAAACTGATTGACGTAACACACTCATTAGTTTTTTTTTTTTTGATGAAAACGCAACACACTCATTAGTCATTAGACAGCATGTAGTGTCCGTCACGCATAGTTAAATACCCTGTACATAATAACACAACCTAATATTATGTTGAGTCATTAAATATAATTTAGCCAACTATGTTTGATATGATGATTGAGCATTTTCTGCCACCTGTAAGATGCGATCTTTATTTAATGAGCGCATTTAAATTATTGTATAGGGATAGATGGAGCTTTTAGCACATTTAAATTACGTCCCATTTTTAATTACCTTATTAGAATTTAGAACTAGATAAATCATGTTTTTTAAGTAAAATAAAATAATGATACATTTAAATTTAATGAATTTAGGATCGAGGGAGTAATAAGTACGGGGTAATACTATATAAGAACCTGGGAGGCCTGTCTGGTCTGCCCAAAGAAATTATTGACTTACGACTCAAAAAACGTATTGACCACAAAAGTGAAGTGAGTGTCGTATAGTGGAAACCATCTGTGGCGCTCTCTCTTTCGGCCCCTTACCTGTGAACTCGGTCCACTCACTAAATTGCCGACGACATACTCGATCTAGACCTACCTTCTTTTATGTTTTATACTGAGTATGATAAAAGCACAAAAAAATGAAAGAAAATAAAGTAGAACTGTTGACCACAAAATTAAAACGACCCAAAAGTCGGGCTTCAATGAAAAAAGTTAGTCACATCAAGGAAATACAGAGAGTATCCGTTAAGTTACTACTTCATTTAACTCAAAACATGTTAAATTTTACACTATTCACATATGTTCTATTTTGATTACATTTTACGCTACTATTTTATGAAAAATATTTTTTAAAAAATATTGTTCAATTCATCTCATTACAAATTTTCAAAATCTAATTTTTAATATTTTTTTACTAATAGAATTAAGATATAATTACGGTCAAAGACGTGCGTTGACAAATGTGAAATGTTGATCGTTGCAACTAAATAAGAACGGTATGCTGTAGAAAATAGTCAAAATACCACTTGTACAAGATTTTTTGCACTCCATTATATCGTTTATGTTAGCCATAATTCCTTCACAAAATGCAAAAATTATCGAGAAAGTTGTACTAATTACCTCTGATATACAAAAATGTACCAAGTGTGTACACACATTTTTAGCACGTAGTATTCTTTCTGTTTCATAAAACTTAATCAAATTGACAATGATTTTGACTATTGGATTTGTGTGAAACTTATAAACTTTATAGTTTTAGGAAAGTATTTTTAAAAAAAAATCCATATAACTTTTCTATTTTAAAGGAATAACTATCAAATAAGCTTTCAAACTTACATAAAAAGTGCAAATAAGCCCTTTTATAGGAGGCTCTGTCCGGCCATCGTCATTTGGGGCGGTTCCCGGTGAAACGTTTTGATGAAATTTTTTTAGCATCTTATTCATTAAGTCTAGTTTACTCATACAAAATTTCAGCTAAATATTAAATCGGGAAGGCACTCAAATGATTTTTTCAAGATAACTGCGTTGTCAAACAGCGCAGTATATTTCAGAAAATCATTTGACTGCCTTCTCGGTTGACTTTTTAGCTGAAATTTGGTATGGGTAAACTAGACTTAATAAATAAGATGCTCAAAAAAATTCATCAAAAAAATCCACCAGAAACCACCCCAAATGGCGACGATCGGACATAACCTCCTATAAAAGAGCTTATTCACACTTTTTATGTAAGTTCGAGGGCTTATTTGATAGTTCTCCCTATTTTAAACAATTTAATAGTAAAAATAACATTATTCAAACTTGAAGATATATATTCCCTCTATCCTTAAATTGGTCAAGTTTGTACAGAAGATAGAGAATTAACTTCAACCACAAATTCTTTATTTAAAAGAGTATTAAAGTGACAAAGTTAATGGGACAACAAAATTTTAAAGGACAAAAAGTATTGACTAAACAGTCAATAAAGCTAAATTTTATTTATGGAATGAAGAAGTATTTAGGGGTGTTTGGATCTGCTTCTTAAAACTGCTTTTATCTCCAAAGGGAGCAGAAACAATATTGGCGTGTTTGGGTGAAAATGTATAACTACTTCTGGGTGTTCCAAATTATTCCCAGAAGCAATTTTTCAGAAGCTAGTCTTCCACAACTTAAGAAAAATTAATTATGATTCTGTTTCTAATTTTAAAAAAGAAGTAAAAGCAAAATCAGAAGTTAATCTTCCACAACTTAAGAAAAATTGATTCTGATTCTGTTTCTAATTTAAAAAAAGTGAATTTTATCAATCTGGGTCCTGAAAGATAGACGAACTATCAATTCGGAGTCTGAAAGATGAAATGTATCGGTATAGGACCTGAATGATGGAAAACTATCAATCTAGGACCCGAATGATTAAAAACGATCAATTTAGGACCTAAGTTTTCATAAATTTTATTATTATTTTTATTTTAAAAAATTTAAATAATATTTAGTTTTATTAAACTAATAAACTTTTGTGAAGAAAATTTCACCAAATATTAGCAATGGAATTAATAAAAAATTAAATAAATCAAAACCTATGAAATGTTAGATCCTAGATTGATAGTTTTTCATCTTTCAAGCCCTATACTGATACATTTCATCTTTCAGGTATCAGATTGATAATTCGTCAGGTCCTAAATCGATAAAATTACAAAAAAAAAAGTAAAAGCAAAAATTGATTCGGATATAACTTAAGAAAGAAAGTACAATATGTAATAGGTAACCTCGTGAAAGTTGGAGGTTGTGTCTGTTCGGAGGATGCTCCGAATCGGGCCTTTCCTTCCGAACCTTCTAACAGAACTTGCCCTCAGCATCTCTTCTTCCCTCGTTCTTCTTATTGGCACTGTTCCTTCTGGACACGTTTCTCCGGTCGTCCTCCACGCCTGAAATTCTTCGAATTCTTCATCCCCATTTTGCCCTTTCGGTATTTCCGGATGATCATCCTACAAATTAATCCATCATTACTACGTACGTACTATATACACGATCAATCAATTAATTATATTAATTGGTTTGTTGTACGGTTGGGTCTAGCAGCTAATTAATTACCAATGGTTTCTGACCCTTTAGCAGTGGATGATCAAATGCAGGTTGTTTGTGAGTTAATACGCAATCAATGATATCACCATCAGGGCTCTGCATTTATTTTATTTATACGTACACAGAAAATTAAGAAACAATAAACTTCACTTAGCTTGGATTTAAATAATACTAATACTAATAATACGGAGTAATAAAGATTGTAATTAAGTAAAGAGATTACGTGCCTGTATTGTCTTGACAGGAGGCTTATTGATCATCATGAGACGGGCTTTAATCATTTTCAACTTGCGTGAATGGTTTCCTGGCCGGAATGCCTGAGTGGCCGGTAAATCCCCGCCGTCTGCCGCCGTCGAGCATGCCGGTCGAGGAGCAGACAAGAAAAAGAGCAGAAAGAGGACAAAAAAGGAAACAGTTAGGGAGATGTTTGAAGTACCGAAGACAGGGGAAGCCGCCATGTCCGAACAACCTTGTTGTTCCTGCACATTGACTTGATGCTGTCTGCTCTTCTCCCCAGCAGCAAAATCAAACAAACCCACGCAATCTGCTTTGATCTCTAATCCGATCCCAAGTACGTAGTATAATCTTAGAAAATGGCGGATGCTCGAAATACCTTTCTCATCTCCTCAATTTCTTACTTCTATATAAATCTTGGAAACCCACCGAGGTTAATTTAATAACTTCACTCTTGTGGGTTTCGGGATAACATAATTACTGGCCTGGGGTGGGGTGTGATCATCAACACATGCAAAGTAAGTTGTTAAAAATTTTACTTTTCAACTTTAAAAGAGAAGCTGTGATGATAGAGAATAATAAAGGGGCCACGAGGCTGCCTGTTTGCAGTCTCCAATGCAAGGACTAAAATAACTTTTGCTTTTGAGGCTTAAATCTTATTGGCAATAAAAAGGGCTTCTTTTTAGTTTTTTTAATTACTCGTGGGCGTAGCTCAACTGATAGCAAGGAGTGTCACAAGGGTTAGATCCCGGGTTCGAATCCCGTCAACTGCGATGAGGGGTTACTATGCTAAAAATGCATAGGGCATCTGCAAGTACCGGGGACAGAGCCTCACTCCCTATCTGTCAGATTGAGATTATAGTCCAATTTACATCCTCCCAATGTACCGTCCGGTCGGGATTGGGGCCCCCTCAGGGATGGGTGTCATCCTTTATTTTTAATTCAAGTATGTATGTACGAGATTAAATTATTATTATTATTATTATTATTATTATTATTATTATTATTATTATTACTATTACTCTGTATTATTATTATTATTATTATTAGAACTTTATTTCCATCATTTGCAACGGAGTAAAAGAGTCTTTTTTTGCTCGAAAGCTAAGTATGATGGAATAAAACAAAATGACGCACTAAATTGTCTACGCTTTTTTGTTATGAAACGGCATTTAGTCCATGCAATTTTCGACGTGATTTTCACTATAGATCATCAACAATCAGTCTCTTTGTGCTTTAGTACAACGATAAGACGTCGTACATCCGACCCCGCCTTACTACTCCTGTCACGTCCCGGATCTCACCGGACACGTCAACAATTGCCGTATAATCTAGATAAGTCAACCACGGTCAACCTTACACATATCATACAAGACATAATGAATATCATACACATTTAGTCATCCATAAACAAACATAATAAGCAATTCAATACGCAATGAAAAGTATAGTTCGAAAACAAATTCCACACGGGGCAAACATGAGCACGGAGGCTCTAAGGTAAAACATCCATGAGCAAGTTTAATATTGTTCAAAACGGAATGAAGGAAGCACGAACCAAGTCCCCTCTCCTTTATGATCGCCCGAGCCACAGGTATAGGAAGCAAGCTCTAGCCTCAACCTGAAATGGTGGTGGGACGCCCCCGAAGGGGTCAGTACTTCATAGGGCTATAAAGTACTGGTGTGGATGACATCTAATAAATATGCAACAAGTACTTCAAACACAAGACCCTCAAAAAGGGTGATAGTATAATATGGGCCGTAACCCCTAGTTACCCCGTTTTGAAAATATAGTTACTTTATATAAAGTCAGGTAGTCGGCCCATGAGTCCATGTTTATTTACAATTACCATCTCCATTCCTTGTGACTACAAGTCAAGTCAATACATAGAGTTCAACCCTAATATGTATCACCTTGCATTCTAGAGCTCGACTCTATTACATCACCGATGCAATTTATATCATTCGGATCAAATGCCTCACCTTGCATTCTAGATCTCGGCTATATTACATCACCGTGCAAGTCCTAGAGCTCGGCTCTATCTCAACATCATACAACTCATAGACCACAAGTCTACCACCTCGCCATACATTCTAGAGCTCGACTCTATTACATCACCATGCATCAAGGTCCAATTCCTAAGCAAAAACTATGCCTAGAATTGACATATTGATGTGAGTTTTCTCACACTTAAAATAATGTAGCACTATAGGGTGCAAGTACGAGTATTGTCTCCACATAGACGGAAAAAGGGAATTAAGAATTAACTAAATTCAGCGATTAAAAAGAAATAAAATACAAGCAATTGTGCGAGATGATTGGTTTGAAAATTAAAATGCAGACTAAAGGACTAAAATAGATTGATTTCTTCTTAATTAACGACGAAGGGAACATGGATTGATTCTGAGGTAATCAAGTTTATGGCTGATCAGGCTTAGTTACATGAAATTAATTTAATTGGGCCTAGCTAATCATTACTAAGTTCTTACCCAATATATACCAAATTCAAACTTAAGTACTGGCAATGCACGTACACAATATATTGATTCAAGAGACTTCATACCCAATATGTTATATATACCAAATGAGATTTCTCACCCATTAAACATCGATCGTAATGCACAAAATTGAGGACTATAGGTCCATTTCATATCGTCTGGACAGACTTTATTGATATGGATTATGAACCGATAATATTTGGAAAACACATCGTTGACATCAATCCAATATCAATATGATTCTCGTTTCACGTAATTTTATATAACTTATCGGATGCAACACTTTATATCATCCTCTTGTAGATGGGCATTAAGTGACTTAGTCTAACAAAGAGCGGTTTAATTTTCTATTCACATAATGACCATCTAACCATGCTTCATTCATTGGTTGAGTTCAAACATTATATTCATTTCTTTTGGTCACTTTGATAGTTTATTTATCATATTTTACACATTTTTCTTTTCATATCAATCCATCCTTTTTATCTTCCCGATACTACAAAATATGTTTGTGCCTTGATATTCTCCCCCATAAAATTATGAAAAATGATTTGTTTGTACATATGGAGTCACTTCTGGAGTTCAAGTATAATTTCTTAAAGTGAGGTTTCAATATGACACATTTTGACTTATTGTCACGTGTAAATGGGGGGTAGATATTAAGAAATGCCAAAAAATATACTCCGTATATATTTTCTTCATATATTTAGGCAACCTTTTAGCAATTTATCTTAGGTATTTTATATTAAAATGCTAGAAATATTTTGTGGATTGTTTTATGCTCTTCACTCTTATTTATTTTTCGTATCCAAATACATGCACATTTAATATAACATACTAATCCCATAATTTTATAGAAAATATAACAATATAGACAAATATGATTTATAAACATAAGTTTTGAGAGTCACACAATGTGTATGTACTTTCAATTTGTATTTTAGATACTTCACCTATTTTTAGCGTGACTTCGAAGGTAATTATTTTAGTAAATGTAAAATGTCAATATTAAAAATAAGTGAGAAACTAAGCATTCCAGCTGGTTGTGAGGTTATCGTGTCTAGTGGGAGGTCTCGAGTTCGAAACCTGCTAGACACATAAGGGTTTGAAACTCAATGGAGTGAGTTTCAGCCCTGATTACTCCAGCCCCCCCCCCCCCCCCCTTTCCCCCGCAGACCCTCCCTGGATTAAAAAAAGTGAGAAAAATATATCAATTATCTTTTGATCATTACCTCTCATGTTTTGAATACACAAACACTTTATCTCATATTGTTCAACATAAACTATTCTTTTTTTGGATTATCTTTTAAGAAAAACTAATCATTATACTCTTATTACTAAACACTACCAAAAAAAGTCGTCATTGGGTCGGATTTTGGCACAGATCGCTTCACAAAAATCCCAAACTATCGCTTTTGGCTCGGATTAGGCACGGATATTAAATCCGACGCACCTGGCTCGTGCCAAATGCTTTGGCACGGAAAACATCATCCGCACCAACTCTTGGCTCGGCATTGGGCACGGAATTTGAGAGACAACAACACCGATTACTCCCCCAAAAAATTTGGCTCGGAATTAACTTGGCACAGATATTGGCACGGAATAAACCGGGTAGCCCAAATCTTTACCCGTTTGTTGGCTCGGATAAGTTCGTGCCAAATATTTAACCAAAATTCATTCGGGATTTTGGAACGGACGTAATCCGTGCCAAATTTAATTTAAAAAAAAACTGTACACCGTACATATGTACGGAATACCGTACATATGTACGATATGGTGTACAATTTTTTTTTCAAATCATTATAAACAAAACATTTAACTGGAATCATATAGAGCAAATGAAAGATAAACATTATAGAGCAAATGAAAGAGCACAAATTAACAGAACATTATTATGTTACAGCAGTCCAGGCAGATAAACCACTGCCAAAATAGAAGTAGAAATGGAAAATAAATTGCCAGAAGATGTCCAGAATCAGTACAGAAATTTAAACAGTTTGTTCATTACACAAATAGATCAGACAGCCGCACTTCATTCGAATCATGTAGCCCATTCATTAGGGCGGAGGTCGGGGTACGAAAAGACGAGAAATCAGGTAGCGGGATAGAAGGGATTGAGCTTCGCACTTGCTCCATGCATGTACGCCGTAAACGCAGAAGTCATGTTCGCCATCTGAGTTTGCCACTGTTTTTCCTGCTGCGCAAAACGGGCTTCCAGATGGTCCTTGATGCGGGAATCAATTTCCATCTGAGTCGGCCCTGATATCCTATTGGTACATTGAAGGTCAGACATTGCTTCAGCTTCATATCCCGTCCCAAACCGCCTGCCTTTGTACAGCGGGACCACCGCGCAAAACAGCTCAGAATCATCCTATTCGTAAGACTTCCCTTGCGATTCAGACTGGGCTTTCATCTCATTGTATTTTTGCTGCACAGTCAGAAGACAGGAGGTTCAAATATATTCATTCTAGATTACTAAGACATATACTCTATATATATTAATATGAAAACAAACTGGTATATATAATTTACCTTGGTTTCAACTACACGTGCTGGGGGTTCACCCGATCTCGGGACATAAACCTTGTCAAACACTTCAATCTTCAAGGGGGGCCTATTCAACTCATTCGTCTACAGAATTAAAGTTAGGAGTTCATTAAAAGGTAAAATGCAGTTCAATTAAACTCACCAGCCTTTCAACATGCGTAGTCACCGGTATCCTGCCACCGCGATATTGTGATTCCTTCCCCGCTTTAGAGTTCCTGTTCTTCTTTCCAACATGGCTCTTTTTCTTAAAAGCATCAGAGGCCCAATATTCTTGCAACACCTTCCAATCTCCATTTCCAATCCAGTCCGACTTCTTGTTGTCCCGCCTAGCTCTGCCAATATTTTTGCTCAACCATTCAGAGGCCCGAGACTTGAACTTCTTTTTCATTTTGGTATCAAAGCAGGCATCCCACTCATACTCTCTTTGAAAACACAAAAAAGACTTAATCAACATCATAACTCATAATCTGTCAAATAAAAACTAAAAGTAAGTACCTATAACATACCTGACACAGTTTCCACAAACGGTTGCATTGATCAGTGTCCGCATGCATATAAGAACACCATGGCCCGTGGAAATTGTTAGTCGGGATTGAAATGATGTTGTTGAGGACAGTAGGATTGCTACATCATTAAAGCACATATAAGTAATGTATAGATAGGAATTTATTATATAAAAATTGCCTAATGCTATTTTACATTACCTTCTCATTTCAAAGGGTGAAATGAAAGTGTTTTGCTGAACAGATTCATCGGGGGTCGAAGAATAGAAACCACTTAAATGTTCATCAGTAGGGTGTCGGGATTGGACAGACTCATGCGAATCACCTAGAGGAGAGTCCTGCTCATTTTGGACAATGGGTGGGCTACCTCTACCTCCACGACCTCCGCGGGAGGAAGTAAACGAAGTGAATGAACCTCTACGAGCGGACATTCTATTGAAACTAATAGCAATATTATAGAAAGTGACCAGTGAAAAAATTAGGTTATAACCAAATAATATCAAAAAAATTATGAAAT